TGTATTGAGAAAGCAATTCCATCTCCCCGGAGTGGACCATGTTGATTATCATAACATCCAACTCATCGTCACCCGAAGATGCCCACGATTTGCTCATGATTTGAGGAATAATATATATCGAAAAAGATAAGCAGAACTAAGAGATAAATCTTACCGTAAGAATGAAGCTACAAGCCTGAAGGAAGGAAGAAGCACTTTGAAAGATTAAGCAATGAGTCAATAGATTAAAGGAAGCAAAAAATTACAAGAGAACGAAAAGCTGGATTGCGAAGAAATTGAGGACAAAATGGGATTTAGGGGACGATTTATTATTTATATCTAACCCTAAGTTCAGAAATGACCGTTGGGGGAGAAAAGATATAGGGGCGCGTGAATTACACTTTCCACGCTCACGAGTAAATGCGACCCTTGAGAACTGCACCTATTAGTAACGTCTACGTGGCCTATAAAAAGCGACCGTTGCCCTGTCAGCGAACGTTGTATTTAATCACGAGAAATTGCGCCATTTCAACTTCAAGTTTCTTTCTCGCACCAAAGTGCTGGGACATCGGAATATAGCAATAGGAAACCGACATGTCCGACTCACATGGATTGAAAATTTCATGATATTCTACAGCATCAATACCCGTCCCTTTTCTGGACGCCCATTAATGTTGGGGCCACCTTGTTGACATGGTTTTCGTTAAACCCAATAATCGATGATTATCAGCATAAAATATTCAAGGATTAGAGGCTCACAGACTACATATCGAGTAAAGCATGGGCTGAGTGCCGACTTCGCCACCCAAAAACTGACATCTATACAGCTGATAAGTTCATTGTTCTCTATCCTCATCAGATCGACATCTCTCATCGCTTGGCAAACCGATATCTATGACATACCAGACCGACATCATGAGGCGGTGCTGACTCATCAAATCATCATGACGCTTGGCCAGGTGGCGCACTACGAGAACAAGTGGCAACTAGCCGCCTTTGACTTTTCTTTTTCAATTAACACAGTCACAACAATTTTGTATTGTATTATGAATAGCACGAAGAGGCTTCAGAAAACATATATGAAATAATACCCTTCATAATTATAAAAGATGGTTTACCCTCGCTTTACATAGATGATTTATCGTAATTATTGATTTGACTTGTTCTAAATAATCCTTGTTAATTCACGCATAACAACAAGTCAATAGGCTTTGTCTTCCACATCTTTGTTGATGTTCCCCGTGCAAAGTAAGTGGGCAGATTCTGGAAAAAATCATCCAAATATGAGTCATTATACTCAACTCACTGCCAGTGACAATAGCTGTAGGATGTACATCACACCTGATCAAATATCTCAACATCTGTAGAACACAATGATAGTTGTATTCGCTCTTCCTTCATAAATGCATATGTAATTAAGAAGTTCTTGTCGCACTGTGTCATCCCAACAATTTCCACCAAATGGCATCTGATATCAGTGCAAATAAAGAGGTAACCGTCAATAATAAAATAAAAAAATTACTCAACCTTAGTAATTAAGATTCATACTAATTGTTATTTATAAAGTAACATACCTACTGGTTTTTTACGACGACTCTGTACAACTGTACCAGTAATATGTGCGGAATAGGTCGAACGCTTTAGGACGTGACATGAACAGATGTGTTAATGACTGGTCTCCTCATCAATATTGGTATAAATGATATATTTACTCTCCAAAGCCAAGTGCAGACTAGGTAGCAACATCTCTATTCTCAAAACTATCTCTAAGCAATTGATTTCTATAATTATACACATGTTGTCGAATAGTGTTGTCTATTAGATATTTTTCCTAGATCGCAACCAAAATTAGCACAATATGTTTAGATGAAGCGCTAACTCTGCTCATCTGTTGATAACCCTCATGATATACATCTAATGCATGATTATGGATTCTCCTATCACCAGGACTTACACGGATTCTCCAAGATGTAGATCGTGCCACCTGTTGGACTGCTATCCGAAACGAGCAATTGCACGCTTTAGTCTTTGAACTTATGGAAGCTTGGTCTAAATCTCCAAAATTTCCTCTATAACGTCACCTCGCGCATACCTCAATCCTCATTTTTTTTTTTTTGGTGAAGAAATGACCAATTCAAAACCATATTGAATTGCTACTTCTTTTGCCCATGTAATACTTCTGCATCACTACCGAATGCTTCCTCCATAGTGAAAACAGAACTGCTATCAATACTGTCCCTTACACATTCTTCGAATGACACCTGTAAAATATTACGATGTTAATAATTTTATAAGATAATAATAATAATAAATTTTAATTTATAACATAATAATTTATAAGTTCTAACATATTATGTTATAGGTTCAAACATAATAATAACAAATTTTAATTTATAACACAAATCAAATTTTAAATTATAACATAAAAATTTGTAAGTTCTAACAAAATAATAATAAATTCTATAAGATAGTCAATCATAATGTATAACATAATATGTTCTAGTTTCTAACATAGTAACAAAAAATTATAATTTATAAATATAATCAATTATAATTTATAACATAATAATTTATAAGTTATAGCTTAATAATAACAAATTCTAATTTGTGGGATAATTAATTTTAATCTATAACACAATAATTTCTTTAATAAAAAAAATTAACTAATTAAAAAAAAAGCGGCCGGACCGTCGTCGGCTGGCCGGCGATTGCGGCGGCGTGTCGTCGCGGTTGGCTGCATATCGCGTCCGCAGATGGTTATAGCCCGTTGGTCGTCCGACGAGCAATCGTCGGCCGACCGATGGCGGTCCGACCAACCAACGTAATATTTGTACCTTGTCTCACTCATTTTTGCTGGAAACCGCCGTCTATTCAGGGAATTTACAATTTTTTTGGGTTTTTGGAGAAAACTCTAGTATCAAAGTGATCCAAAGAGATAATATTTAATAATAATGGGGTGAATAACAACACTAGGCCTGTTATTGAACCGAGTTGTTCGCGAACAAAACTCGTTTGTGTTTAATAACAACTCGTTAGTTTAGCAATCGAACCGAACTTGAACCTGAAATTATGTTCATTTAGTTATTGAACGAACACGAACAAGAACAAGTTCGTGAACTAATCGAGCGCTTGCGAACAAAAAAAAAATATTTTATAATTTTATATATGATATATAGTATATACATGTATAATATAATATATAAATATGAATATAAATTTAATATAAAATAAAATAAAAATATATTATAATTTTATATATTATATATAGTATATACATATACATATAGTATCTATATATATAATAAGAATTACCATTTACTAAAAATAGTAGCTAAAAATTTTGGGAGCATTTAATGCATACCTTTTTTAAAACTTTTTAAATATATGCATTAATTGCTTCTATATACGTGTTTTGAAATAAGATCAAATCAGATATGATCAACAATATTATTTTCTTAAGTAATTTTATTAATATCTTGAATAGTTTCATTGATATCCATTATAATAACTTACAAGATTGATTTTTCATGATTCATATTGATAATATTTTGATCCAAATAAATATTACAACATAATTTAAGTTATAACAATAATATATTTTTTTTCACACATATTCACTTTTTATCCAAAAATATTTATAGAAAATCGTAACAGCTTAGGTAGACGTATGTATATTATTGGTAACCATGATTATTTTCTTTTATCATTTTATTTTTATTTTTATTTCTTTATATAATGAAATTATTCTAAAATATATATCCATTGCAAAGTATGGTAAATAAACTATAAATCATTATAATGCAAACTAGAAAAATCTTCATTATAAAAGAGATTGAGTTTTTGGCATGTGCCAAATCAAAGTTGTTTAATTAGTATCCAAAATTCAATTCTGAAAAAAAATGTGTGTATATTTCGTAAAATATTCACACAATATCTAATTTTAAACTTATTTACATATTTTAAATTGATCATAAATAAATAGTACATACGTGCATTAAGTACTTTCATTACATAAAATACAAAAAATTACGTAATATAAAAAGAAACAGAAAACATACAAGTTCTATAACTTTTATAAATAAATAATAATATTATATGTGAACAAAGTTTATAATAAAATAATAATTAAGTATTATACGGTGAACAAGACTAAATAAAACTGTTATTTTCCCTTACATCAAGGAATAAATAAATATATTAAAATAAAGTTTATATCAGTATAAATGTGTTAGTGAGATAATATTAATTATTTTACAAGCTAGCCCTAACATTCTCATATTTAATGTTCTGGCTAAAAAAACAACTGCTGATTAAAGTGAAAAATATATTATAACTCTATTGTTTTTAGACTTAACGTTGATTAAAAGTGGTCGAAAATAGATGATAACCTTATTGTTTTTTAAACTTAAAAGGACAGATCCCGTGAAAATAACTCATTTAATATGTATGTCCCGTGCATCGCACGAGGTACGTACTAATAATCTATAAATATGAATATATATTAAATATTAAATAAAATAACTTGTATGACATTAAAATAAAAAAAAATTTAAAAAATATGAACACGAACATGTCGGACAATTCTAACACGAACTTGTCGAACAATTCAAATAGTTCACGAATAAGTTCGACTAGATAAACAAACGAACACGAACGTGTCGAATCAATTAACGAACGAACACGAACAAAATCTTTTGTTCGTTTACTAAACGAACGAACACGATCATGTTCAAAAATTAGTCGAACTCGAGCTCGAATACCTTAAGCTCGGTTCAGTTCGGTTCGATTCGATTCGTCTTAAGTCAACACTCAACAACCAAAAATAGTGAATAGCAAACACGCAAAAAAATTCAAAATAATTGCTGCAGGAAAGGCAATGAATCTAGGCGGGATTCGGGAAGCGCCAAATGTTTTCACCCAACCCCTAAAGTACCATTCCCAAGATAATCCGAAGTTGTATTTCATCTTGTTATTTTTTATCCTTTGTCTTGCTCTGCCAAAAACTGGTTGCTCTTCGAACGATGGCTGAAGCTCGCCGACGCCCGCCGGCGGTGGGCGCAACTGTCCAAAACGACGAGGGTATGGAAGTATCAGAGTCATGTTCGACGATGATGGACGTTGAAGCCATCCGCGAGAAGCTCCGTCAGCGATGGGAGTTGGCCTCAGTTCTCAACTTCCTCCACGTAAACGAACTTCTTCATGTTTTTCATGATTTTTGGTCCGTTGATTTTATTAGTGTTCTGTTCCTGCTTCGATGCGAAACATGCGTTTTATCAGCCTTTTGACATTGTTTTTGTGGTGGATAATCCTATCAGCGTGTTCCCCGATTCAGAAAACGGTGCAAACTTGCAGTATAGGTTATGGTGATTCAGTCCCAAAAATGTTCTGTAATAATCTGAAAATAGTGAGATGAGGACAATTATTTTTTTGTTTTAAAAAAACACTGTTCCTTACTTCATAAGGTAGTTTAATCTGAGGTCTGACACAAAATTCTAAGATTGGGTTGTATGTGGTAACTGAGATAGAATCTAATGTGCGCTTAATCTTCAGTTAGCCTGCTGGGGCTAGAACTCTTGTATGCTTAATCCCGGAGGAGTTTGCGAAAGAGTAAAAGTTTTAGTAGAGACAGTTAGGGCTGTCACTGCAATGCCAAAAAGTCACGTTATTCGTTTACTATAGCACTTAATAGGTTTTTGCAAGGTAGTTTAAGAGTGCAAGATTGAGTTGACTGCATTAACAAAGGGTTGTGATCCATAAGAGAATGAAAAAACTTGAGTAATTGACTTCTTGTGTCTATAGATCATCTGAAAAAAAATAATAACTTGCATGATCGGTGACACGTGTTTCACGTTTTGTCGTTGACATATTGGGGATTAAATGCCATAAGATTTCTTCTTCTATTGATCAACTAATTAATTTTTTTCCCCGTGCACTGATTCTAATCATATATTGGTCTGCACAAATGTCCTACAGGTATTTGAGCCAGTTATTGAGAGTGATCTGAAGATAACCGCCGAAGATGTTGAAACAGCACTTATTGAGCAGAATGATACACTTGCTAAGATTCATATAGCTCTTTTGAAGGTTTTTTTCTGCTATGTATCCTATAAGTGATATGAGCATTTCCATAACTCTCCACACACGTTTTAACTTTTGTTTGCCTTCCGTTTCAATTTTTATGCTTTCATTTCAAATTTAGAATTTGTCTATATACTCAACCTTTTTCTTGGAATGAAATTAAAGATTTTATTCTTCAAGGGTTGTGTTATTAGACTTGCTGAGATACTTTGAGCAACAATTCCTCAAAGATGATTTGAATGTTGTGGATGACAATTATCAAATTCATTCATGAATTGCTGAATTTTGTATTTTCTGTTGTCCTAAATTATGATGTGCACTTATTCATAATTTAATTACACGCCATTCTTTTAGTTACAAGTGTTAAACTTATGATTTTCTTTTCCCCCAGGGAATTGTCTCGGAGAGAAAAACACTGACGAGCTCTGGTGATTGGATAGTCACTCTCAGCAGGACACTTTCAGCATGGTGGCCTTGGGTAGGGTTACTGAGGATACTTTTTCGAATATCAAAATTCAAAATATGCTGATGAACTTCATTGTGATATGCAGGTTGCCACTGGAGAGTTCCCTTTAAATGGAGCCAAAGGGTATGATCAATATATTATACAAGTATAGTGTGACTGAAAATTTTAGAGCTTTTGAATTATTTCTTGTAATTGTTTAGGAAGGAGATATCTGTCTATAGGGATCTTGAAGCAACAACCCGCCTTCTAATACTCAAAGCTCTTTGCGAAGTTCGAGTTGATGTATGTATCCTGATTCCTGAACCTATCTTTTTATATGATCATATTTACAAGCATTAATTGTTTGGATGCTCTAGTTTCTGCAAAACATTTTGGGGAGTTTTATTCTCCCTGCATATCTAGGTGGACTGAATAATATCTATTTCACTAAGGACAGACGTCTTCTTCTGAAAATTTACATTTTTAAAAGCAAGTTGTTGAATTTCCTAGTCATGATTTTGAAATTGGGCTTCGTTTGCAGCAATACGATTCAGGGTCTTATGTCAACGAGGCAATGAAAGAAAATTGTGATATCTCAAATTTTCGAAAGTACAAGCTTGCTGATGATGGAAATGGAATTTACTTCTGGTAAGTGTCAGCAGTGATTACTTGTGAAGAGTAAGTCAGAAATAGTGGTGTCTTATAAGTTGTATTTTTGGTCACAGGTATGACGGAAGTGAAACAATTGGTCACAGATTATATAAAGAAGTTAAAGTCTTTCAAAATGAGGGTTTTGGCAAGGGTACTGTGCAAGTAATCCTCTCTCAATGGGAGACCCTTGCGACAAATCTCGAAGAATTCAAAAAGATAGTGGTATGTACCAGCTTTCTTTTAATTAACTTCTTGCTGCCAGATTGCATTCATGCTCTGCTTTTTTGGATGGTAGAGTGATTTTTCATCTAGTGGGGTTGCATTGGAGATTGCAGTCAGCAACCGTCTTAACGTTGATGTTATTCCAGTTCTTGAAAGGCAATGGAAGGTCTGTACGTTTCACTTCTTTCCGTGCTTTTGCTTTTTCTGCATCATTGTTGGTTTTACTTGATGGCTAAGCTTTTACAGAACTGCTTTTGACAGAAAAAAAAGAGGGCAATGCACCAGAAGCAAAGAGAACAGATGCTCCTGAATGGTTTTCGAAGTTCGCGGTTAACTCGATCTTCCCATAATCAGAAGACTGTTGATTATAGATTTGGTATTATTCAATTATCAATTATATTCTTAACTAACTATTTCCATATTGCTAGGTATAATAAGAAAAATACAGAAAGGTCAAGCTTCAGAACAAAATTTGCAACTTCACTTCTCGGTTGTATCCTGAGTAGTGATAGGTTCAAAGCTATGTAATGATATCAGATGACTGATGATGGCATAGCAGACAAGATCATGATAGGATTAGCCTTTTTCTTGAATAAATCTGCATCAACTAGATTCTCTTAAACCTGATGTAGGAACAAATTATCTTGTATGTTTGATTCACTATCTATGTCCCTCTTGCTCAGACCAACTATGAACTCTTATACCGCACATGACGAAGTTAGTTTAGTGTTAAATTGTAAACACATGTATTTTTGATCCTGTTTGGAGAGACATTGATGGCATAGTGGAAGCCTTAACATTATCTAATTTTTAGGATTTTGATGCAATATAATCAAATTGTAATACTTTCTTGAAATTGTATGGATTTCGACATTGTTTTTATATGTTTATGCCTTTATGGAGTTATATTCAACTTTACTCGTTGTATCTGCTTAAAGTGGAGTATTCAAGCACTAATCTAAGCTAAAAGATAAAAGACAATGGGATAGGTGGAATTTGTTCTTGGAAACTGTCAGGATAACTGTTTGAATGACTTGATCATTTCGTAGTTGTAGACAGTAACTGCTGTAAAGTCCCACCCACCTTCAACCTTTCTGATTATCTGACTCTGTGTGTTTATTGTATTGCAGATAGTTATGACAGATCCATTTCAGAGGCCATACAATATGCAAAGTATAGTCTACTTACACTTCTGTTATATATCCTTGTTTCATGTATCTGTTGATTCTCTTGAGTTAATTATAAATTTCATGCTTGCTAGATATTTCTTTCTACTTTGATAAAATTGAAATCTTATTAGGCCAGCTAAGTCTTTGGGATCTGAATTGTCTGACCCCCCTCTCCCTCTCCGGCTCTTCAGTCTCCACCTAAACTACTGAATTCAAAGTGATTTCATTTGCACTTTTTTTTTTCTTTTTTTGAATTCATTGATTAATATTTGTAACTTATTTGTTCTTAAGCAAAAGGAAGACGGGGGCGGAGAAAACACAAGATGAGAAACTGAACCCGAGAAAAAAGGGAACTGCCTCAAACGAATTCAACAATTCTGGCACTACTTCATTTGATGGTGAATCCGATGACAGCAACACCTGCAGAAATATTCATCGAGGGGAAGACAGTTCTGACGAGTCCAGCCATGATGAATATGACAATGAAAAGGAAGAACATGACAATGGTGACATCACTGACCAGAAAAATGTCCACTCCGAAAAACAAATCAAGCAGATAGTCAAAGGGCCCAGGGGATCCCATTTCAGCAAGAGGCTAGCTGGGATTCCTGCCCACACCATCTCGGAAAGCATCAACTTGGGTGCGAAAAAAAGGCTGAGGCAAAGGCCTTCCGTGAATACTGCTCTTGAGCCTGCTGTGGTTCCTGATTCAGAAGACGAAAGCTTATGATGGCGACACGAGGTGAAGCTTCTAGAAACTGACTGTGAATGGTTATACAGATAAGTTATGAAGAAAAACATTTTCTGATGCCATCAGCAAGGGAACAGGGTTTTTTTGATGTATTCTGTAAGAAGTGATACTTTCATCTTTTTTTGCGTTGAACCCTGATGCTGCTGTGACTGCAATTGTTATGATTTTCGACTGCTTGTAGTAAATGGTACCATTAGTGCGGTTAGTAGATATCAAGCCAATTGATGGCTACTTTAAGTTTTCTTGCAATCCTCCATCTTTTTAGTATTATGGTGTGTAAGGTTTGTCCTGATGTGCTTAATGTTTCTAGATATGCACCATTGCAGAAGAAAAAACAGGTATTTATACTGTAACAGTTTGTTTTGTCAAAATCAACGAGCATCTTCAGCAACACTCCAGTGCTTATTACTGATTTTAGTAGTGGCTTATGTTTAAAACATTCATTACACTGAAAAAGGCTTGCAGTATATACTTGTGCATATTTCTCACATTAAGCTCCCAAGTAAAAAAGCAAAAGCTCTTTCATGTAATCCTGATTGATGGAGTTGTCATCTTGTTTTGATATTACCATCTCCAACATTGACTCATAGGGCTTCTCATGTGGTTTTGAGAATTGAAGTTAAGTAGTTAATCATATTACATATATGACCTCATATGTTTATATATTTGGAAATTGGTTCCAACGAAAAACACATTCTTTTGAACGTGTGCTCTTTTAACAAACAAATATAAGGCCTTGCTCGAGTTTGGCTGTTGAAGCTTGGATTGATTTACTCGTCTAATAAATTTAAAATCATAAACAATTTGTTCGTGAATAACTCATTTTACATAACAATGAGTTGATTCAAAAATTTTTAGAGAATTAATATATACAACATCTTTTTTTCATATATTCCTTTTTATATTAGTTATTATGCTACGTTTGTTAATATTTTATTCAAACATAATATTAGAATAACTACAAGTATATAAAAGTCTCAATAATTTTTACAAAATCCATTATGAAAGTCATGAAAAATCACTAATGAAAATTCTCTTGAAAGTCTCAAAAAGTCTACCAAAGCCGTGAAAGTTCTACAAAGTCCACATAAGTCACCAAGTTTAAAAAAATTTAAAAGATCCTTAAGAATCTTAATTGAATACACAGGTTCCGTTCACCTACCCACGATGGGCAAATTAATAGTTGTCCACCGTGGGTAGTGAGCGAAACCGTTGAATACACCCCATAAAACTCAATAGCAACAAAAAGTCACCAAATTTAAAAAAGAATCTTAATTGAATACACCCCTAAAACTCAATATCAACAATATGGAGGAGGCCATTGATGATGAAGGTTTAGAGAAAATTAAGTCGTCTTAATTGAATACGCCCCCTAAAACTCAACATCAATAATATTCTTCTCCAACAAGGATTGACTCAAGTGGTAAGCAGTTTGATGTCGCTTAAGCAAGGTCTCGGGTTCGAGTCCTTGTAAATGCAGAAAACCCTTGTTGCGGGACTCACCCACCATTGCCAGGTGTGTGACCCAGGTCGACCAACGGATTAGTCGGGGCAAAGCTCCGAATACCGTAGCATATGGAGGAGGCCATTGATGATGAAGGTTTAAAGAAAATTAAGCCGCTTCTTAATGCTATTTCCTTGATTGTATTTGTAACTTTTTTAATTTGGCAGTGTTCTAGTCGAAATCATTGGATTATGTCTTGAACGTTTGATTTGAGTTTAATTGAAGTTTGCCCTTGAAAAAAACAATAAATAAAAATTTAACCCCATTCTTTTTGTTATTTTCGTTTAATCCCACCAAAAAATATAGAGAAAAAATAATGCAGCTTCTTCTCCAGCAGACGCAGAAGCAGTTTCTTCCAGTGCATAATTTTCATGGCGCTCGTCCCCTCAAGCTCTTGCCCACGGCCATGGCCACGGCGGCCTTGCCCCCTCCTCCTCCGTCCAAACTCAGTCGCGTTTCTTTTAAATTACCCGCAACTTCCAACTCCCGGTTGTTGCCCTGCAGATTGAAAGGCGATTCAGATTCAGGTCGATTTCTCGTTTTTTCCTTCTAGTTTACGGGTTGTTACAGTGGAAGATTGTTTTCTTTTCCTTCGTCTTTTGATACGAAATTTTATCTGCTTGTGGGATATTTTTTAGTCAAGTTTAAACTGTTCTTCAGGACAGTGGATTTAGGTCAGGTTTAGGGATTGTGCTTGAACTTTGAAGCTTTACTCCGAATTTTCTCCGGCTAAGAGCTCTTAAACTGAACTAAACAACCCGCTCATCAGCTAGGCTCGTTTAGTCAAGGCTTGAAAATAAGAATTTTTATTTAACTTTTTATAGTTTGGTTCGCTATAAGGCTTGCATTTGGCTCATTAGACTCGAGTTCGGCTCATTAAGGAGCTTGATAATGGCTTGTGCTCGAGCTGGCTTGGCTCGTTTACCTCCCTAGGACGTGATTGTGTAGATTGTTAAAGTTTCCCTTTCTACACAATTTACCTGAATTTCGCAATTTTTTCGCATATCTGAAAGGTTTATTAGCCCTTTCAGAGATATAACTAACTACAGTGTAGGAATTGTGGTTTTCAATTAAATTCTTCAATGAGAGTTCGATATTATTTCACTTAGACATGATATCGCAGCTGGAAATGGGGAAAGCCAACATCAAAAGGAAAACTGAGAAGCGAGTCAATGGCGTTTTCTGGATTCTGCTTATTAATCTTGGCATATATTTGGCAGATCACGTTTTCCAGGTTTGTACTTAAATCCTTTCCCACAATACAGTCATATATCTCTTTTACCGAACAAGAGAGTCGCTCTCTTTCTCTCCCTTTTTCTTGTCAATGTACTGTATAGGCACCTGAAGTTTGTTGATGAATTTCGTGTTATTAGTAATTTTCTTTCCTAAAATATCACTTTTCATAGTCTGGTTTATTACTTGAAAGTTTAATACGAACCAATCTTGTTAACTTGTTTTTAAAAGCTTATAATTAATTGTTCTATTCTACAGGTTCATTTGATTAAGGAACTGTATCTATACCATAACCAGCCTGCTTGGTACCAGTTTATAACTGCTACATTCTGTCATTTTAATTGGTAAGCCTTTTCATTTTCTGTTAGCGAACACTCCCGGAATTAGGTTTACTGAGCTTGTAGATTGCTTTTCAGGAGCCATCTTTCGAGCAATCTGTTTTTCTTGTATATTTTTGGTGAGTGTTCCATTTTCCTTGTTTCTCTAAAATGTTTGCTTACCTTGACGGTTGGGTATGTCAATTAGATTCTTTCTTGTACTCCTTTTTTTTTTTTTATTTTCTTTTTATTTTCTTTCTTTTTACTTCAGGAAAACTTGTTGAAGAAGAAGAAGGAAATTTTGCTCTGTGGCTTTCGTATATCTTGACAGGAGCTGGGGCGAATCTTGTCTCATGGTTAGTTCTTCCTAGAAATGCAGTATCTATTGGAGCATCAGGGGCCGTTTTTGGACTCTTTGCTGTCAGTGTCCTGGTGAAGGTACATTAATTACTACATATCTTGCTATTCTTTTGTCTTCTTCTTTTTTTTTTTTTTCCTTGGAGGAAGTTATTTTGGCAATGGATTTTCGTGTGAATAGCTTCACATGATTTAGATATACAGAAACTCCTCATATTTAGAACTGGTCAACTTCTTCTGTGGTCAGATGTCGTGGGACTGGAGGAAGATCCTTGAGGTTCTGATATTGGGCCAATTTGTTGTGGAGAAGGTAATGCTTCAAAATTACTTGTTGAAATCTGTGATTATCTCGAGATGGTATATTTCTCTTTATAACTAGGATGAAGTGGGATAACGGAATTTTAAAAAATTATGGAAAATTTTCTCCGTAAGAGTGACAATGAGGTCAGGTATGTTTGTGCTTTTCATTAATGTGAAGGGAGTTTGGAATCGCCTTTCTCTTATGATTAAGGGGCCTACACACAAATTTAATTTTATTCTTGGTTATAGGTTTTTGTAATCTGAAAGACTGGTTTGTTTTGTAATTAGGTGAAACCTCTAAGACACGCAAATTCGTAAGCAGATAAGAAAGAGTGGCTTTTAGTGTTTCCAAATGCCAATCATGCTTCTAACTGTTCATTGTTATCAAGAAGATTACCAAAAGTTGAATTCTGAACTCGTGTTGTTTAGGTTTCAACTATAGTTCTCTTTATATATAACAGGTGATGGAAGCAGCCCAAGCATCGGCAAGCTTAGGTGGAAGCTTCAAAGGAGGTTTTGCTCTGCAGAATGTGAACCACATTGCGCATCTCTCGGGTGCCCTTATTGGCGTCTTTCTAATATGGCTCCTTAGCGCTGTTCCTTCACCAACTGATGATAAATGATGTTCAATTTGACTAAACTCTATTTTATTTGTACTTTTTCCATATGTATACATGCATATAGAGAGGTAGGCACTGGTTTGACGTTTAAGATCTTTATGGCATTGTTTTGTGTTGCGTCACTCGGGCCTCATTTGGTTCATTGGATAAGATAGAATATCTACACTTGTCAAGGTTTAGTCATACTTGTTTACATTGATTAGGGCCCGTAGGAAATATCCCTCAACCTGGAATGGATTGGGATACAATCCTTGGAGAAGTGGAGAAAATCCACCACAATTTGGGGTGATTATTTGCATCATTTCATAGTTTTCTTTTCTTGGGACATTAATATTCCTGCACGGCTGCACCTTCAGCGTCACAAACTTCTTAGAAATGGGATTGACTTCTATCATTTTGTGGGAGAAGAGATGTAGAAAATCGTCGCAATCTCAGCCAATTCAGTTTCTTAAAAACAACCTCGACGTCTTAGCATGGACCCACGAAGCCACTAAGACATGAAGAGGACTGACTCTAATGTTGCCTGCTTTTAAGAACGTTGATAAGAAAATTAAGCAGGCCAAATTGACAAAACCTTGGAGCAAGAAGTGTCAGAAACTAATCAATAACAAGTTCATTCAGAAAGTATGTACTTTGCAATCTCCGTTCTGGTGAAAGAGTCTAATCAGTAATGGAGGTTATATATGCATGGACTTTTATCGATCTCAACAAAGCTTGTCTCAAAGATAGCTATATGATGCTCCACATAGACTATATGGTCGATGTTACTTCCAGACACGAACTCATGAGCTTCATAAAAGCCTATTAAGGTTATAGTCAAATCCCGATGCACCCCCGATGAAGAACATATGGCCTTTTATATTGCTTGGGGTCTATATTGTTACAAGATGATGATCTTCGGGTTTAAAAATGCAGGGGCCACTTATCAACCGGTCAGTGAACAAATTGTTTGCCGAACTAACAAGGAAAAATATGGACGAGCTTAAAAAAACGTACATAAACGATATGCTTGTAAAACCTTAGTATGCACGAGCTTATTTATTCTATTTGAAAAAGGTGTTCTGAATTTCAGGGCTATTCGATGATGCTGATACCAAAAAAAGTGTACCTTCAGGATCGACTTTCATTATTATTATTATTATTATTATTATTATTATTATTATTATTATTATTATTATTATTATTATTATTATTATTATTATTATTATTATTATTATTATTTTGGGGTATTTGACGAGCCAAAACAGGATCAAAGTTAACCCTGAAAAAACTAAAACTATTAAAAATTTTAAGCCCCCCCCAAACTTTGATCAAAGGGGTTCAAAGCATGACCGGCGCATTGGCCGCCTTGGATAGTTTGATTAAAACCAAACTGATATCAGAATTTGGCCATGTCTACTTTACTTGTATTCAAGGCAGCATGGACTACGGTCCAGGGCCAACTCGAAAGAGGGGCACCAAGCCAACAATCCATATACAATTATATATTTTATATAACTTATATAGTGACAGAAAGTTGTGCATTTGGTTTAGTGGGACAAGTATGATCTAACCTCATAAAGGCCATGAGTTCGACTCCATAAATCTGCCTTACACTGAAAGCCCCCTATTTTTTGTAATTCATTCAGCCTATATATGATGTGGGACCGATGCGTGCCCCAATGTCAAATTGAGCTTTGCCTTCTTAATTTGATCTTTGAAATGTAAATAAAAAACATTGTAAACCTCTTTTAATCACTCATGGCGACAGGAAAATATCATATACTCATCATTCATCAACCTTTCTTAAGTTCTTCTTCTTCTTCCAAATTCTTGAGTCTCGATCCCTTTTAACCTTTGTTTTTCTTATTCACCATCATCAATTCTTTCTTTTTTTTTTTCACTTGTTTAAAAATTATTAATTACTTCCAACAATTTTAGATATATATTAATTTTTTTATTATGATGAAAATTGCTATATTCTATCAGTTAATTCCGTTATCGGCAAAGCTTCGGCTGTGTCGTTGACGACCAATTCAAGTTATTCAACCCAGCCGGCTAAAAAATGGATTGACATCCAATTAGGCATCTTTAAAGTAATTACTAATTAACGGTTTCTTAATTCATACATTAAATTTAGTTTTCATTTTATTAGCATTTTGTTTGATGATTTCCCAGAACAATATAATCGATGATACCTAATGCATCCAAAATTGTTCTGGAGAGATTATTTTTCTATAGAAGCACTAGTGACATATACTGTGGAAGGTGAAACCTGCTCGAGACATTATCTTTCTGTACGCCTGATGAGTTTTCTATTAGATCTTATTTGTTTTTACTTATGTGGTGAGATTGTAATGAATACTATATAAATTATTGTTTATGCAGAAAATATTGGATCGCTGTTGGTATTATTTTAATGTATCATTTTATTTTTTTATTTAAAACAAAGTACTTGAGGTACTATCTTTGTATTTCGTTCAAAGCCTACTAATGTCAGGACCAACTCTTTTGTATTTTTCCCGGGGCCTAATAATATTCAGGACCGACTCTACTTGTATTGTGTCCTCGATACTCTTGTGCAAGCTTTTTAGTTGGTAGAAAGTTGTGTAACCATTCGATTAAGCCTTGTACTTTTTTTTTTTTTTTTTATTTTAACGATGGAAACCTCCAATAACCATAGAAGAAGAGTTTACAAAGCCTGATACAGACCCACAAGGGTTAAAAAGAAAAACACTTAGAGACACACTTGAACAGTGGTCTAGAAACAAACCCAACTAGAACACATCTAAGGCAAGGACTAACACCCTGAAGCCTTTAGTCTGTACAAATCTCCAATATAAACCTAACAGACACACCAACAACAACAAACAACATACAAGCAGAGAACTAACAAACCGGAAGGGGAGAAAGAACCCAAACACCTAGAAAGAGACCTCCACGCCACCACACAAAAAACACAAGAACAATCAAGACAGTGGACGCTAGAGCATACCAGGAGAACTCTTGCCAGTCTTTCCATGCACCGTTAGCCACCATCAACTCAGGAAGCCACACTTTTGCGAATAACCATAGGTTCCTTGACCTCCAAAGCCACCACAACAAGTAGGTTGATAATTGAATCTTGACTTCTGTGATTTCAGTCTTATCAAGTTTACAAATCTGCCACCACCATTGTTTGAAGGAGAGTGTAGCCAGGTGACACTGTGATAGTTTCTAGACTTGCTTAGCCCTTATGCACTTGAAAAACAGATGCTCCATTGATTCTTCTACCTTCCCACACATCTGGCAAATGATATCAACTCAGGAAGCCACACTTTTGAGAATAGCCATAGGTTCCTTGGCCTCCACAGCCACCACAACAGGTAGCTTGATAAATAAATCCTGGCTTTTGAGGTTTCAGTCTTATCATGTGTACAAATCTGCCACCACTATTGTTTGAAGGAGAGTGTAGCCTGATGACCTTCCCAATCCAACTGTGATAGTTTGCAGACTAGCTTAGTTTTTATGCACTTAAAAAATAGATGCTCCATTGTTTCTTCCTCCTCCCCACACATGTGGCAAATGATATCAACTTGCACACCTTTTTTCACCACATTACAGCTGGATGATGCCTTAGAAGCATTTCCAAACAAAATGTTTCAATTTAGCTCCTTTCTTTAGCCTTTTTGACTTCTTCAAATTTATTAATTATTATATTATTATGGTTTGAGACAAAAAAAAAGTATTTAGGGCCAATTAAGGGCTCCCAGGCCATTCACCTCGACGTGTAAGTCGAATTAAACGTGCCAAAAATTCGGTTTAGTCGATGCCACCCGCGCGGGTGGCACCCGTTTTCACTGTTGACCAATCACAGATTTACACCTGGAAAAGATAATTTGTGATTTTTTTTTTTCGCTTCCGCCTCTTTCCATCGTTTTCCACCTCATTTTTCTTTTTTTTTTAATTACCAACCCTGGTTAAACATTCAGATCTGATTTTTGCCCGATTCAAACTCCATTCCTTCACATCTCTCTGTCCAGAACGGGTTCCTTCACATTTCTCTCTCTCGATCGATAACATTTTTGGTAGATTTCCCGATTGAAGAAAGTTTATACATTGCAGCATTTTCGCCCGATTCGCTCTCTCTCTCGAACAGACATTTCCCTAGCCGATTTCCCGATTGAAGATAGTTTAGGGTTTAGAACATTGTCGCCCGATTCGCAGGTACATGGGGTTTTCGAAATTTGTAGTACCAATGTGATGGGGTTTAGTTTTCAATCTGGGGTTGGATTTTATTTGTCCTTTTTTTTTTGGCAAAATCCTCTTTTTGTTCTGATGCAATATGACAGGCCCGAGAGTAGGCACTGGTAAATACCATAATGGTTTTACTGTATCTGTTGCATTATGCACCAATAAGCCCTCATAAAGTGCAGTTACAAGTTTGCTATAACCAGTTATTGTTTTGTTTGACTTCCAGTTACTGTAATATTCTTGGGCTGTAATATTCTTGGGCTTGCTAGAACAGGAAAAAATTGTGTTTCATAATGATGGTAATATTCTTGCAGGGAATAAGTTAGTATTTTGTGCTCACAATACTTTGTACTGTATAAAATGTAAAAGATGACATTTAATAATTTGCAGAGTTTTTTGTTTTAGTTCAAACATCACAAATTGCATAATGAACAAAACTGAGTGTATAGATTATATATTATACTTGTCATAGTAGGAAATATCTAATCTGAGATCCTAATGTACCAGTTTTGCTGTTTTTTTTTATTGTTTTGTAGGTAATATTGAATTAATGGATTATTGGCATTGTGAAGACTTGGAGGATAATGGTGAAGAACTTGAAGAACAAGTTAAAGGGTTTTCTTCTCCTCCACCCAATTCTGAGGTTCAATCTTTTGAATCTGTAGTAGAACAGTTAGAAAGTAGACTAGCAGTTGGCATGAAAATGAATAACCTTGAAGATGCATATTTGCTCTACTGTCAATATGCACATGCTAAAGGTTTTAGTGTTAAAAAAGGTGATCAAGGGCTAT